TGTGCAATACATATATCACACGAAGGGTAGCACGTGACAACTCCTGACTACAAATTCGAATATCAGTTAACTTTATTTAAGATACGTCCTGCGTGGAACACTTGTTTAGGTATTCTTAGGTTTTTTCGGTAAAGTCACGTAGGTAAAAAATTAAAAGTAATAAAAGTAAAATAAAAATAAAATAAAAAATAAAAAAATCACGACGTTTCGGAGGCAACACAAGCTTCCGTCTTCAGGTGGAACCGTCACAGCACGATAGCTGTATCAAGTGAGAGAAATTCCAAGAAACAGTATTTGTATATATACTGGTTGAGGGTGGGAGGAGCCAAGGTAGGCCCTGAATATTGTTTTTGTGAGGTTCGGTGCGGCTGAAAGCACGCTGTTAGGAATGAGCCTTTGTTGTGTAAACTAGGTGCGGATGATGTAAAGGTGCGTGTAAAAGGGACTGAGCCTTTTTGTTATGTAGAGATGATGCGGCTGAAATCGCTGCCAGGAAATGAGTCTTTGTTGTGTAGAATGGTTGACTGAGCCTATTATGATGTAGAGGTGGTGCAGCTTAAATCTTGTTTAGGTGGGGCAATATGTTCTATAGGTCGGACCTTGAATGTTTAAATAAAATCTGCTTGCTGACGTAAGAAGCGAACACGTGCATTGGACAACTACATGGAGATTCCCCTTGAAATCCTGTGATGTTAATTTAAAGAGAGTTGAGCTGAGGAATGTAATGAATGTTGACGTGCATTTCAGTGTGACGATTTCATTCGGCCGAACAGGCAAGGGATGCACTCTGCTCACAATGGAAAGGTTGCGTGTTCAAGCCCTGGTGGGATGTCCAACTGGTTGTTCTATGGATGAACTTGGCCCCTGCCATATAAATGTGGACAGTTCACTACTGGCTCGCAAGCCAAAATAGATGATGACCTTTGTCCAAAATTAACATGAGTAGAACACAAAATAATAGGAATGCTCCATAATCATTATAATCATTCGCGTATCAATATTTGATTGCAAATGCATTGGTTGACTTGGTCCGAGTGTTATGTAAATGGAGGCGACTTTAAAATACATGTTCGTCAAAGGGGTACTGCGTTGAAGGACGCAATTTAATTTGTATTAGAATTTCAAATCAAGGTAACGGTGTGATAGTTATTTAAATACTGCACAGTACAATTACAAATATGGCATTATGCTACTCACTTTTTACTGCTATACTGAACATAAGCAAGGCTGTAATTCGTGAAAAATACATCAATAATAATTAATATTTAACTAAATTACAAGATCAATCATTATTTTTAAATATGGGATAAAAAAACGCAGCACGTCATCAATTGCTTATGCAATATTAAAAATGTATAAAATGCAATCCTGTATTCCATCAGAGATTCAGTTAATAGTGTAATTATATGTAATCAATGCATTTATTTTAGCGTGGTGTGTCATGTTTGTGCATATGCTGTAATGTATACTTAATTGCACAGTACGTGTAACCCACTGTATTTACTAATGCAAAAGACAAAGATCCCCGTGTAGCCTTAAGACACTTTTGGGGAAAGTGCAGTTGGCCAGCACCTATGAAGGCGGGCAATGCACACGAGGGGTTGGGTGATAAAAGGGTAATGGGCCATTGTTTTGGATATTGACAATTAACAACCAATTAACACCAGCGCTATGCAATGATTAATTACCAATGCATCTTTATTTAAGGATGTACGTGCCTAAAATATACACATCTGCGCGGCCTCCTCATCTACGTTCAGAATGAAATCTGCTTCCTCTCTCCCCGCGATGGATCGATGAGACGGAGCGCATAGCGAGTGCCTGGGTGGGCCGTGAAACATTTTTCTTTCAATTATAAGAGGCGTATTAAATATGCATTCTGCGGCAACGCATTGTGACCTCCAAGTTCTCATGCAAGAAGAAAGCAGGAGGAAGAAGGGGGGGGGGGGAAACACGTGTCATTTTGAAAACCTGTCAACGTGTCAAAGTAAAACTGCTTTTCTCTGCGAATCAGCAGTAGGAGCTTACAGCCATCTCTGCTCTGTGGCTGGCGCATTTTTAAATCCTTTATATTAAGTTCGCGTGCTTGCTTGCTTGCTTAGGACCGTGCAAATCTTTCGGTCGTTTTTAACCCACTTCCCGTGATCCAATCGAGCTGACATTTTCCACACAGACTCGTTGTGCCAGACAATTATTGTTCGTGAAAAAAAATTCCCAAAATTTTACACTTTATGGCAAAACATTTTTATTTTACATATATTCAAATAGAACGCATTCATGGCTTTGGCTGAACGTCAGAGTGTAAGAGCCCAGAGCGTAACCCCTCCACAGGCCGTGGCGGAGTAGCGCAGTTGGTAGCGCCCTCGCTTCCCATGCCAAACGTCGCGGGATCGATCCCCGCGTCCTCCACAGGCGAATATATTTTTAAATCCTTTATATTAAGTTCGCCGCCACGCATATAAAGGATTTATAGTGAAAAACTTTGTTTTTACGGGTTTACTTGTTTCTATTCCTCTGCTCCACCCCGCTCAAGCAGAATTCTCCAAACCGCCGTTGTATTGCAGCCCACAAGCAAAGAGCAGTGGAGTTTGCGTGCCTCCTTGATGATCCTTTTTTTGTGTTTGAGTCCTTATTTTATGCGTTCTATTAGACCGGTCTCTTAGGTCGACGTTGCAGCGCGCGGGAGAGGGACGGTGCAGCGCGAAGCAACGCAGCGTGCTTTGCGGGATTGTCAAAACGACGCGTTTGGAATGAGCGTGTTTCCAGATGAATCAAACCAAAGGCCTTTGAACATTGCCGGCGTTCAATTACCTTCAAAGCAACACCTGACAAAAGCAACCAAACTCTGCACTTGCCCAGTAGTAGTCCTTTGACTTTGGAGCCGAGTTATTATGCCACTGCATTTGGAAAATAGTCTAAAGCGCAGTGCAGGTTTGTAATAAAGAGAAAAGGTTTGACAGGTTACTTTTGTCGTTTAATTTGAGGAATCGGTGATCTCACCGTTTCATTAATGACCTAAACAATTCTAACAATGTTGCGATTCTAGCGGCTGTTCATTTGCGTTGGTGTTTAGTGGCATCTGCTGCTACCTATAGCTGTCTGTCATCGTGTCCTGCCGTCTATGTGTAGATAATGATGAATGTTGGACTGCCCTGCAATTTGCACTTTATATTTGTGCTCTGAGCGAGCGATGGCGCAGTTGTTAGCACACTGGGCCATGACCCTGGCAAGCCGAGTTTGATTTTGGTCGGAAACCAAAACAACAAGAAGAGCAATTTTTTTCGAAATTCGGTATAAAAAACAACCCATGAATTTCAAGAGCCGCAATGCATGTGGTGGATATGAGACGGTGGGCCCTTTATTTCCAGAAAGGGTAAAACCTATTCTTATTTTTGATGAACTGAACAAATATAAAACAATATTGTTGTATATTAATAATAACAATAATGTTTTATATTAGTATTATTTTATTATTTCCCTTCTACGTGACTTTACCGAAAGAACCAAGAATAGGTGTTAAGATGTTCAAACGCCACATTTGCAAGGAATCAACTACTTGTGGTGAACATGCAAACAAACACGCTCTGATAATAGATGCATTGTCTTTAAAAGGATTAGCCTACACCAGAGACAGCCTTCTTTATGGCCTAGTCTCTCAAGTGTCAAACCAGAGAATGCCAAAAGGCAAACGGTTCGCCAGTTTCACCATGCAGTTCGCTAACCAGAGCCTCGATTGTTTTTCAATGGCACTGTCAGCATGCTGTCGTGAAACAAAGACGTTTCCGTTTGTAACGCTCACAGCAGTGAAACTGTCATTATGTCATGAAAGGCAACTTGAAAATAATATCACAACTTCCTGTGAACTCTATTCGAATGGCCTCTTAACCAAACTCGTGGTTGCACGATTAGACGTCCTACTAACAGTGTTTACCACATGGGAATTAAACCGACATTTTAAGTTGTGAAATCTGAAATGTGATGAAGTAAAACACCAGCTTAAATATATGCTCCAAGCGTGGTGTTGTTTCATTCAAATGCTGTCTCCCCGACAGACCTGGTCTTCACCTGAGGACGGCTGCTTGCGTTGTGGCCGAAACGTTATTATAATTATTTTATTATGTTTTATTTTTACTATTGTATTACTTCCCTTCTACGTGACTTTACCGAAAGAACCAAGAAGATGAATCCCTGCAGTCACGAAAGCTTTAAATCGAAACCAAAGTTAGGTTTTTAAAAGTTAGGTTTTAAAAAAAATACAATCGTTGGTAACCAGGTTGAGACCATCAACTCACTGAGACTCTCTTTCAGGAAGGCCCTGCATTGTGATGGATGGGCAGTTTTTTTTTCACTTCAGAGAAAATCAGAGTGATTGGAGAAAGCCCACACTCATGAGGGGATAATACGATCAGATCCACACACACGCCCATCAACTCATTTTATGGCCTATCTTCTTCTGGCCACCTCGCAAGCCCAGCAGGCTTGGAAGTTTCACAAACCCAACGCAATCTACCAAACCCGGCCTCAAAATTTAATGGTAAAGGCATTCATCATCACCAGTCATCGCTCCCTGGTTCCACCATGCTGTGTGTCAGCAAACGAAACACTAGTGCATTCGTGGTGAAATAATTAACCCCCCGCCCACCACAGCCATTTGATGCAAATGTCACAATTCAGATTCAAAATTCCCAATTCACTTCAACAATTATCTCGTTTTTACACTGGGGTGAATGTAGTGGCCTCTCGCGGCTGACGTCAGGCCTTGATGTGCGCCAATTCTTACGCGCATGATTCGACGCGTGTGCCGTGAGCATCACAATCAAGAGTCGTTCGACGAACAAACGAACGGACGAACGAATGAATGCGTCATTACATCCCCGTGGCCCACTACCCCCAAACACGGCAAAGTTCCTGGCGTGTCTGCCATTTTGTTGATTCAGAGTGGGTGCGAATGGGAGCCGACCTGGATGCATTTGTTCGCGAGGAGCCGGGGGGGAACTGACCGTACTGCTGCGAGGAGAATGGCCTCCGGGTTTGGAGTCGCTTGCCTTGAACCTCCAGCGAGCGAAGGCCTTGACTCCGAGCGGCCGTCAGAGGGAGAGGCAGCCAGTCTGCGGAGAGTTGTTTCAAAAATAAGAATATTAATTTAACTGAAGGAATCCGATGAGCGATGCAGCTCTTGTTCACAGATGTACACTCGGGGCAGGTTAGAATGTTACAACAACAAATAACACAAAAACACGACAGGAATGCATAGTATAGAAAAGGTAAGAAAATCACAAAAAAAAACACAAATAAACGAAACTATTTTTTATGTTACCAGGTAAAAATCCACTGAGCTCTTAGCTTCTTTTTCAGAAGTGACCTGGCCACAAATGATAGCTCAACGAAATGGCTCAACATGTTGAAATTTATAGCAGGCAAATTATCTAAATAATCTACGAGAAGCGGCCACGACATTAACCTATTTACAGCTTTATTCATGACCGTTCGCAATTTTGTGCATCATCGCGTTTTAATATTTTCATTAAAGCCGATGCGGTTAATGGTGTGTCATTCTGTGTAGTATTTAAGAATATATATCTCTCTTACTCTTATTTTTGTCAACAAATACAATGCATACACCAAAGGCATAACTTAATAAACTTTACGTTGGGTTTGGCAGATGATAACACACACCCACTAGTAATAAACTTAAACTCAGGGCTGTTGCAAGATGATGATTGAAGCAAAACTTGCGATTGGCCGAGACACGAGTTTGCTTTTAACAAAATCTTGAAGTTCACCTCAAGAAGATCATTGTTGTGGAATTTGATGGTTAGTTACAATTAAGCTGCAGTGCGAGTTCCTCTTTCCTCATAGCCCATTGGCCAGCTTTGCCTGTTTGGTAATTAACAAACGCGTCCGATAAACACTATCTAGATGACATCTGAATGAAGGATACTGATAAACATGCGCATCTTGATTCGGAGAAGGCTGTAAGGGCTTGCTTTTGGGAAGTGGTGGAATACCAACCGCTGTTTCCACAAACCATGGGGCAATGTAATTAGCATCTCAATGTATTTCCACGTAGAAATGTAAAAAAGTACAAATGCTAAAACGTTTATGCCGGTCATTATAACAGCTGCCATGGACGGAAGAATAGTTGTGGTAACGTTTTCTTAACTGTGCTTTCCACTAGTGACTCCATCTTGTTTGTCAAATGAGATTGCACTGATAGTACACCTTATCGTATTGATGTGCCCTCTGGGCATTGTTCAGATTACCAGTCATAGTCTTAGGCTTCGATGTCATTCATGGCACCTAAAATGATACAGCTGGAGGGTAACTAAAGGATAAACGTGTCAGTCACGACAGAACACTGCACATGCTCATCGCTGCAAAACCGACGCTACCACCTTTGCACTCCACTAAGTGCCTGTGAAAGGCATGATGCACTCGGGGCCTATTTCAGGGCAATTATTGCCAGACATCGACATCGGCAACAGTTACCGCATTAGTTTCTATTGTAAGAAATATGTTGCCCAAAACTGGACAAAGTTGATTGGTGTTCCTCTAGAAGGCAACCGAGATGGAAACTTCCAATCAAGTCATACATATATGTCACATGACTACCCAAGGGCTATTTGCTCTGCAGTACAGCCATTTTTCATCAAGTGTCCTATTATAAAAACTCAGCTGTCATTTGGCTGAATAAAAACTATGTTCCTCGATGCCACTGCCATACCAAGTTCAGTCCATGTGCCGGAGTAAGATGAATTGTGGGGGAGACGAGGTAAGGACAGTAAGGACCATGAGTGGACTTCGGCAGGCCAGGCCACGCATGTGTAACGAGGGATGATGATGATGATGACACGGTAGTCGAGACTAATGACGGAGCGGCATCCACAATCAGGGAACACGCCCAAGAGGATGTCCATTGCGGAAATTGAGCGATGGAATCGGCTCGGCTTGGGGGGGATCATGACGTCCCATCACATGACCTTGAGAGATGGAAACGGCTTGGCAAAGGCCTTCATCCAGCAGTGGATAGACAATTTCTGATGATATGATGATGAAAAATAACTTTCTACAGTAATTTGTGTCAGTTTCCCTGCATTCATATCTGATATACCACATTGCACCAGAGTCATGCCAACTCCACGTGAATAGCATTTCAATACAGCAATGCACAATTCCCGAACAGACTCAGTCTGCAAGGATTTAGCGAGGTTTTGGACGGACTACAATGTTGTGCACAGGACAGGGATACTGCGATGACGTCAAACGTCAATCCATGTCAGTTATCTGCTGCCCTTTGTTGCACAGATCGTAGTAGATATCAAGAGCGACTTTAATTACCTTCTCGCCTGGAACCAGAATCTGATGCAGCAGCGGTTTAACAAAAAAATGTCAGTCGGTGAGATGGAATAAGCAGCGGGTTGTCTATATAAACGCTTTCCATTTCTACGTCACGCTGAAAAAAGAAAACGCAGTATGGATATTGCATTGCAATACATTTTTCTTCCCAAATAAATTGGCCGGGCATGGAACAGGATGTCAACTATACGTTTGGAGGGGCTCTTGAACTCGCACTTAATTAAAATTTTCTACCTACGTGACTTTACCGAAAAAACCCAAGAATATGAATCCTTGCAGTCACGAAAGCTTCAAATCTAGAACTTGTAGAGAGGTTCTACCGCCAGTCAGGGTTGTGAGCAAACAGTTGTAGGGCGGTACCTTTACTTTACACGCGCGTGCGTGTGACAATTGTTTGCGATCACAAGAAAATACCATGAGCAATGATTGAAGATGGATCGGAGTCAAAATTGAGACAATTAACTTAAAAGTGAAAAGCAATATATCAATGTGCGTAAAAAAACTAATTTTTCAGTCGAGTGCATGGATAATTTATATAGATACCGGTATAGAACACTGAATACAAATGAATATTGTGCAAAGAAGCATAAAGAGGTGTTGCACCAGGGATTACGCTGAGAGACAGAAAGAGAAAAGCATGGACCAGAGAGAAAATGCAAATCAGAGATGTCATATTGACTTAAGGAAAGTGGGTTTGGGCAGGACACATTGCAAGAAGGGATGATGATGATGGCTGATGGTCAAGGCTGGTGATGGAATACCAGGCAAAAGACGTAATCTGCCCAAGAGGTGACCACGATGGAGATGGAGCGATGGGATGATCTCAGGTGAAGGAGCTGGATGGATTGTGGCGTTTCACGACATTTGTGCGATCCATCAACTCTTGCTTCCACAGTGCTGGGGTACAGGCCGTGTGCAAAGCCACCACCGCCCAGTATTGGCCAAACATCCAAATGTAGAACTCTACTTCAAACTAAGGTTGCGACATTTCTGGTTCCCAGGGATGTCTCTGCAGGACATCCCTGGTTCTCAGTGTCAGATCCTTTGGGTAGACTCCAGTCATAGGAGACAAAGCCATTTAAACACTACCCGTCTGACCCAATGCAGGTTTGCCCGAGATCATTGCACCCACGTCGTACTTGCAGCGTTGTAATCATATATGGAATGGAGTAGTTCTATTGCAGAGTCTGTCTTAAAACCAATTGCATTTTAGAGTGTAATTTTCTCGAGAATTAGCATTAATTATTCCATTTGTTATAGAATAGCTTGGCACGAGTTTCATTAAAAGAACAGCGTATAAAAAAACAGCACACGGCGTAGTCATAAAGCAAATACTTCATGAAGCTATCCAGTTAGAAAAAAGTAAGGATGTTCATCAACTGCTTTAAATATTTGTAATTTTATTTAATAAAGTGGCAGAATGCACAACGCACACGGTGGCTCATAAAGGCCATGAAGCTGAATAAAAAAAAATTGCTTTGTTTGCCAATTGACAGCAGAGTTTCGAACGAAATAATGTTATCGTGCATTCTGGCACAATTCGCCTTTGTTGAAATCAGGGCGCCGCCTGCGATTACCGTGCGCGTGAGTCACGGTAATATTTTTCACGCGTGCGATTATTTTGTGGGCCGAGACACGCACACCCTCGCCGGCTCTGCCGTGCGTCTACGCGGAGGAGGCTGCTCTCTGCATTCTTAGAGGATCGGCTGAGTATAAAGTTAAAGCGAAAGCCTCTCCCTGCAAATTGCGCCCACGTCACGGTGGGCAAAGGGGCCTTTCTCTTTTTGATGAGGATTTACATTTTAGACGATTCATTCACATCAGTCGGACGAGTTGGGAGAGATGAGATCGCTCACGCTTTGCTCGAGCACACACAATCCGAGGCTTGGACTCGTCATGAACATGTCAACGGGTGGGCACGGACAACGATGAAGAAGACATCCACCCTCGGTGCTTCACTGTGTTGACGAAGCCCGCATTCTGCTGGTGCTAGTGTGCCAAGGTTCGAGAGCTCGGATCCACGGGTCAATGGTCAACCCAGCCCATCATCCCCTCTGTGATCGGTAACACGAGTACCACTTGCTGGGAAGTCAACGGCGGTCTTTCTCATGAGAAACTGGTTCCTAAATTTCGATTTAAAGCTTTCGTGACTGCAGAGATTCATCTTCATGGTTCTTTCGGTAAAGTCACGTAGAAGGGAAATAATAAAATAATAAAAATAAAATATAATAAAATAAAAAAAACTGGTTCCTGGGATACCAGGGAAAGTGGTCACTGCCCCAACACTCATTCAAACGAGGAGACATTTTGACTTCGACTTAATAAAATTGAGAAAACTTGAGTAATAATAATAAAAAATACTTACGTATGGTTCCTTTAAATAAACAAATTATGAATTGAACTGAAAACAGTACCCTACGCGAGTGTAGTGTTAAAGTAATTTGCATAATGTTTACTTAAGTTGTCGAAGCAATGGCTGGATGTGGTGTACGCATATCTATCAACCCCTTACCAGTGCCTAGCTTATTACAGACCAATTCAGACCTTATTGTTTCACCCCGTGCCCCTTATTAATCTCAACGTTCATCCTACAAATTCTCATCACAAAGGAGAAACACAAACAAATAGACACAATTTTTTTTGCCCGTATTCAAACGGCTGTACGCCGTATGGACATGAAAACTAAAAATACCCGTGTCCAAGAACACGGGTAAACCGTATGGGCTGACAAATATGTGTAGGGTCTATAATA